ATCAGAGCGGTTATACAAAAACTGACAGCAATTTAGTGATTAGGAAGGGAAACACAAAGAGAGTAATCAAGGGAGGATCTCTGGGTAGGGTAAACACAGAGAGAACCGAGAGAGGATTACAGAAAGTGAGTGTGTTCCAAAAGAACTGAGAATGGGTGACGCAAATTTCGCGAAGGCTTGCATTCCGATCTTTGATGGAGACTATGATCACTGGAGTCTCTTGATGGAGAACTTGCTGCGTTCCAAGGAGTATTGGAAGGTAGTGAATGAGGGCTTCACAGAACCAGCCGCAGATACAACATCAACCGCAGAACAAAGTAAAGCTTTGGAGGAAATGAGGTTAAAAGATTTTAAGGCTAAGAATTATCTATTTAGTAGCATAGATAAAACTGTCCTTAAGACAATTACAAAGAAGGGAACAGCCAAGGAACTTTGGGAATCCATGAAAACCAAATTCCGAGGCAGCGCCAGGGTTAAGAGAGCTCAACTTCAAGCTTTAAGGAGAGAGTTTGAGGTGTTGGAGATGAAGGAAGGAGAAACGATTAACGATTACTTTGGCAGAGTCATGATTGTTTCTAATTCCATGAGAAATTGCGGAGAATTGGTTGAAGAGGTGAAGATTGTTGAGAAAATACTTAGGACTCTAACGGACAAGTTTAATTATGTGGTGTGTTCGATAGAAGAGTCTAAGGATTTGGATGAATTGACCGTTGATGAGCTGCAAAGTTCTTTGTTGGTGCACGAACAGAAGCTGGTTAGGAAAACGATCACAGATGATCAAGCTCTAAGGGTTGGAGTTGAGTATAGTAGAGGAAGAAGCAGAGGTCGTGGTAATTATCAGGGAAGAGGTAGAGGACGCAATAGTTCAAGAAGCAAGGAAACGATTGAATGCTTTCATTGCCACAAATTAGGCCATTACAGGAACGAGTGTCCTGAGTGGTCCCATCAGGCGCATTACACAAGTGAGTTCAGTGAAGAAATATTGTTGATGGCTATGGAGAACGGTGAGCAACATGAGGCTCTGTGGTTCTTAGACTCGGGTTGTAGCAACCATATGACGGGCAGCAGACGTTGGTTTACACACCTTGATGCATCTTTTGCCTGCAATGTCAAGTTAGGCAATGGCATGAAGTTGGAGGTTCTTGGCAAAGGGAGCATAAAGGTGAAAATTGATGGTACTGTTGCTGTTATCCAAGATGTTTACTATGTTCCGGGACTGCAGAATAATCTATTCAGCATAGGGCAGATGCAGGAGAAGGCTCTAATATTTCTAATCAAGCAGGGAACTTGCAAGGTGTTCCATGAGAACAAAGGCTTGTTGTTTGAGACATCGATGAAGGCAAACAGAATGTTTGTGCTTCAAGCCATATCGTTAGGCAGTAAAGAAGCTGAACAAGGGCAATGCTTGATGGTGTCAAAATCTGAAAAGGAGAATCTCGAGCTCTGGCACAGGCGTTTTGGACATTTGAATTACCAAGGCCTAAGAAAGCTTCAGCAGAAATCAATGGTTCAAGGCTTGCCGCAGTTGAAACAAAGTAGCACCCCTGATGTATGCTCAATCTGTCTTATGGGGAAGCAACATAGAAAATCGTTTGCAGAAAAGAGCTTGTGGCAGGCTACAGGGAGGTTACAGCTGATTCACGCAGACTTGTGTGGTCCTATCACACCCGACTCTAACGGCGGTAAGAAGTACCTTTTTACTTTGATAGATGACTACAGCAGGAAACTATGGACTCATTTCCTTGTAGCAAAATCTGAGGCCTTCGAGGTGTTTCAGAAATTCAAGGTGTTTATCGAGAAGGAGTCCGGAACAGAGATAGCTTGCTTAAGAACTGATAGGGGAGGCGAATTTCTGTCTACAGAATTCAAAGAGTTTTGTGACAAGGCTGGCATCAAAAGGCAATTGACGACAGCTTTCACTCCACAACAGAACGGGGTAGCTGAACGGAAAAACCGAACCATTATGAATATGGTTAGGTGTATGTTGAAGGAAAACCAAGTGCCAAGCAAAATGTGGCCGGAAGCTGTAGCTTGGGCCACTCACATTTTGAACAGATGTCCGACTTCGATCAATCCAGAAAAAACTCCTCAAGAACTTTGGAGTGGTTTACCACCATCAGTGGATCATCTCAAAGTTTTTGGAAGCCTATGTTATGCTCATGTGGCCGACCAACAACGCAAGAAATTGGATGATAAAAGTGTTAAGTGTATTTTCCTAGGCGTGTCACAAGAATCTAAAGCATGCAGATTGTATAATCTTCAAACTAAGAAAATTATGGTGAGTAGGGATGTTGTTTTTGATGAGTCCAAAGGATGGCAAGACATCAATGAGAGTTTAGCTGAGTCTACTCAGCTCAGATGGGAAGGCAGTGAAGATGAATTCTGGGAATCTGAGGATGAAGCAGAATCTGTCCAAAATGACGACCAGGACACAATAATAGCAGCAACGGGCCAGAACTCTGTAGCTGCAGCAGTTGACGGCAATGAACTGACCTCATCTGAGAGCACGACGCAGATTGAAATAGAAGAGGAAGAGGAGGATGCTGTTGAAAGCCTCCCACAGGCTGAATTAAGGCCAAGAATTAGAAGTAGGCCGGTATGGCATGATGATTATGTAATGGGCAACTTCTGTGAGCAGCTTGCACTATCCGTAGATGGGGCTGATCCAAGCAGTTATGAGGAAGCTAAACAAGAGGAGAAGTGGAGAAAAGCCATGGCGGCTGAAATGGAAGCAATCAACAGAAATGATACATGGGAGTTGGTTTGCTTACCATCACAAGCTAGTCCAATTGGAGTGAAGTGGGTTTATAAAACCAAACTCAATGAGCATGGCAAAGTGGAGAAGTATAAAGCTCGACTTGTGGTGAAGGGTTATGCTCAAAAACACGGTATAGATTATAATGAAGTTTTCGCGCCGGTAGCCAAGTGGGATACGATCAGATCACTATTGGCTCTTGCTGGACACCATGGATGGGAAATTCATCAGCTTGACGTGAAAAGCGCCTTCCTTCATGGGGAGCTCTCCGAGGAAGTATTTGTTGTGCAACCTCCTGGTTTCATGGTTAAAGGAGAGGAACATAAAGTGTATAGGCTCAAGAAAGCTCTATATGGCTTGAAGCAAGCGCCGAGAGCTTGGTTTAGCAAAATAGAAAACTATTTCTTGAGTGAAGGCTTCACCAAGTGCCCATATGAACATACTTTGTTCATCTATGCTCATGAATCTGATGTACTCCTTGTGAGTCTGTATGTGGACGATATCATGCTCACAAGTAGCAGTGAGAAACTTGTGAAGGAATTTAAGGCATCAATGCAGTCTAAGTTTGAAATGACCGACTTAGGCCAAATGATGTATTTTTTGGGTGTAGAAGTCAACCAAAGTGATCAAGGGGTTTTCATCTGTCAAAGGAAGTACACGAATGAACTTCTCGACAAGTTTGGAATGTTGGACAGTAATCCGGTGAGAAATCCTATTGTGCCAGGGACAAAACTAAGTATTGAGGGAGATGGAGTGCTTGTGGATGAAACACAATACAAACAGCTGGTAGGAAGTTTATTATTCCTCACTGTGACCAGACCGGACATCATGTTTGTGGTGTGTCTTCTAAGCAGGTATATGACGAAACCTACGAAGCTACACATGATGGCTGCAAAACGTGTGCTAAGATATTTAAAGGGAACTGCAGAGTTCGGTATAAAGTACCACAGAAAGGGACAGGGGAAGCGCCTAATAGGATACACTGACAGTGACTTTGCCAGGGATACGGATGATAGGAAGAGTACCGGCGGCTATGTGTTTTTCTTGGCGGGAGGAGCAATCTCATGGGCGTCCAAGAAGCAACCGATCGTGACTCTATCAACAACCGAAGCTGAATTTGTTGCAGCTGCTTCATGTGCAGCACACTGTATATGGCTGAAACGAATTCTTGAGCAGATGGGATGGACTGAAAGTGTTGTAGGAGCAACCACTGTGTTCTGTGACAACAACTCTACCATTAAACTGTCAAAAAATCCCGTGCTACATGGACGGAGCAAGCATATCGATGTTCGTTTCCATTTTCTTAGGGATTTGGTCAGAGATGGAGTTGTAGAGCTCGAGTACTGTGGTACCAAGGTGCAGATAGCGGACATTATGACCAAGGCCGTGGGGCTTGAAGTGTTTGAACGACTAAGAGCACATCTTGGAGTCATGAAGAATGAGAAGACCTTGGAGGCTTCTGTTGTTTAAATTCAACTTAAATATGTTGAGTTTAGGGGAGAATTTGTTAGGTTTATATTTATTTATTTATAATTTATGTTGAGTCAGTCCTAATTTTAAGTCTTTGTTTTACTGTCAGTTAGTGCATTTGCCAAGTCAAGGTTGTTAGCATGTTAGTAGCAGTGAGGACCAAGTATTTAGGAGGCAGTTATTTTGTAACTGGTGTAGTATATATTGCTACATCTGAATTAATAATAAACACAGTTTTTGAGTTTGTTAATTTTGACAATCTTATTCATCCTTAGTCTTGTGCTCAAACAATTTCAAGTCAAGAATCTAATAGTTGTGTGTATTAAATTTTAATAGTTATTGCCACTTTGTCTGCATGACAAAAAAAAATCTTAAAAAATATGTAAAATATTAGTTATTAAATATTCTAAGAGTTAAATATAATTTTAGTCTTGTAATATTTATAACTTCCAATTTTCATCTCTATGAAAAAATATCTCACTTTTTGGTTCTTATAAAAGTATTGTGCATTCATCAACTTTTATACACACTAGTTTGAATATCTTTCTTAATGGAACATGTTTAAAACACGATTTGAAATCAAAACTATTATTTAATGCACTAGTAGTAGATAGTAAGTGAACAAGTTGGTTCATTAAAAAATGGCAAATAGTATAGAACAAGTTAGGATTGGTTGTGGAAGGTCAAAGAAAGGTTATTGGTGGATCTGGTTTATTCTACCTTCTTTCTGCTCAACTTCCCCACCAGATCACTCACTCACCCTAGAAACAAAAACATGTCTAAATCATCTCAACAGCTGAACATAGAGGCTGAAGAAGTGGTGGATGATTCTTTTCCGAGCTTGGATAATTACCATGAGATTGATGAAAAACTTCTCCAACAAATGGTTTACGATGCTCTTGTCTTTGCCACTCTCAATGGTCTCCTTGTCGGTGACAAATCTGTTGAGGTTTCAGCTACTTTATATTATCAAACTATTTACTCAAATGATTAGTAATAAATGCTTTCTTTGTTGTTGTTATTGATCATCATATAATTCCAATATGAATTGCACTGAGTGAGTATTGATGATTGTTACTATTTATGGAATGATAGAGATCAGGAAGAGTACCTGGTGTAGGGTTGGTGCATCTTCCATTTTCCTTATTACCTCCACCATTTCCTCAAACTCATTGGAACCAAGCTTGTGAACTGGCACCTTTATTCAACGAACTTGTTGATCGTGTTAGTTTGGATGCAAATTTTCTCCAAAAATCTCTCTCTAGGTATAAATTCTCTTATTCAAATTCACTTTTTTAATGCTTTAGTTAAACATAATTTGTATATGTTGAATTCAATCAATGCAGAACTAAGAAAGTTGATGAATTTACCTCTAGACTTTTAGATATTCATTCCAAAATGCTTCAGATTAACAAAAAAGAGGTAAAAATTTGTGTTAATTTACCTTTTAGATTGACTCAATGTGATTTACTCATTCCATTTTCTTGCCATGTTAGGAAATTCGGTTGGGATTATTTCGTTCAGATTACATGTTTGATGAAAAGACTCGATCACTTTTGCAAATTGAGATGAACACTATTTCCACTTCGTTTTCTGGCGTTGGTTGCATTATTACTCAACTTCACAGGTCAGTGTTTCTGTAATAAATTACACATATGAACTCCGATGATAGTATATCGCCATTTTAACGAAAATTTTATGAAGAGGTAGAAATTTATATTAGTTGATCATTTTCCAGGAACATACTTTCTCACTATGGAAAATCGCTTGGACTAGATTCTGAAAGGGTTCCTGCGAATACCGCCGGCAGTCAGTACGCAGAGGCGTTGGCTAAAGCTTGGAGCGAGTATAATAACCCTAGGTCTCTTTTGAGGAAAACTTTCCAATTCATTTCCTTTTGCTTCTTTTTTTTTTTTTTTTGTATTATGATGCTATATATTTTTTAATGGATGGATCTATACAGTGCCGTGATTATCGTTGTGGTTCAGGCTGAAGAAAGAAACATGTATGATCAGCATTTTGTTTCCACGATTCTAAGAGAAAGATATCCTTTTACAAAGGGAAAAATGTTCGTTTTTACTATCTCGCAAAGGAAACTCTTTGATTTGTATTATTTACACTATCGAATGTGATTATCATGGGTTTGTTATTCTTAACTTTATGACACGTATCATATTACAACCATGCGAAAAACATTGGCAGAAATTCATCAAGAAGGAGAAATTCTATCAGATGGAACACTTTCTGTGTATGTAGCCTTTGCCTTGACTGCCTATCTGACATAATTTTTTTGTTTTACAACATTTTGCATCTGACTGTATAGAAGTGTTTATTTATGGCACTTGCAGGGATGGACAAGCAGTCGCAATCGTTTACTTCCGAGCTGGCTATACGCCAGCTGACTATCCTTCGGAATCAGTGAGTGACTTGAATTAAGTTTAGTGTGCCATCTATCTTTACAATGAGCTCTTATGGTTTGTGTGATGTATAGGAATGGAAAGCTAGGCTACTGATAGAACAATCTTCTGCTATCAAATGCCCTAACATATCTTATCATTTGGTTGGCACAAAAAAGATTCAACAGGAACTGGCAGAGCCCAATGTTCTTGAGAGGTATATCTTTCTAGTTAGTACTTATCAGTCATCAGCTATCAGCTACTAATCATCAGCTATCGATTATCAATTATAAGTTATGAGTCTGAATACTTTTTGTATTTTCGATGCTTATTTCATCCTATGTGCTTTGGAAGTAGTAGATCAATTCATAACTACTTGATAGATAAGCCCCTAGTAGTTAGTTAAATCATATGTACTAAACTAAACTAGTATTGTGAACCCGTGCAACTCACGGGGATAAACTCGTTAAAAAAACTCTATGGCATCGCTCTCCCATCTTTTTGCGTTTACTTCATAATTTATACACTTTTGCTAATCATAGCTCCCCTAAATCCATGAGTAAAAACTGTAAGCAGGTTCTTTGAAAACAAAGAGGATATTGCGAAACTGCGTAAATGCTTTGCAGGGTTATGGAGTTTGGAGGATTCAGATATTGTTAAAAGAGCAATTGAGACGCCAGAGTTATTTGTGATGAAGCCGCAAAGAGAAGGAGGAGGTAGTTTACCTCGCTGGCTTTGTTGAAGAAACTAGCAACAGGGAACGAGGGAAAGTTGTTTAATAAATCTAATGACTATGCAGGAAACAATATTTATGGTGATGATCTTAGGGAGACTCTTCTAAAATTACAGAAATCAGATTCTCAAGAAGACGCGGCAGCTTACATTCTTATGCAGAGGATATTTCCAGTTAATACAGAGGCAATTTTGGTGCGTAATGGTTTCTTAAATAAGGATCGCGTCATTTCAGAATTTGGGATATTCAGTACTTATTTAAGGTACATTGCTTAGTTACATGTTTATCACATTTTTGTGGTTGAGTTTGCAAAACGGTTGATAACCATGAACTGGAATTTGCAGGAATAAGGATAAGGTTATTGTGAATAATGAAAGTGGCTATATGGTTCGTACAAAACCATCATTATCCGATGAAGGTGGGGTTTTACCTGGTTTTGGAGTAATAGATAGTGTATACCTCACTTGATTAAGCCAACTAGAGGGTACTGCAAAACATTATGTTGTTGATTGATGGCTTGCATGTTAAAAACCTGTTTCTTGTACTCCAAGAAACAACAAGTCCCTTCATTGGATGTAGAGACTTTAAGCTCTAATCTTAGCATTTCTGATGCTCTGATTAGCATGTTCAATAAACTTTGCTTGTTTTGTTAGTCAGATGTTTTACTTAGACCCCCAACAAAATTTTCAATCCCAATTAAAAAGGGTTATGGGGGCATCTTAGTAATTAAATAAAGAAGTAAGAGAATAATAAATGAAAGTTTTAAATGCCCCTTTGATCTTTTTATTTTGATGTTTTTTAATTTTTAGTCTCTCTATTTCAAAAGTTGGTTTTTCGTCCTGAACTTTATATTATTTGAAATTTGGTTGATCCCTCTTCTAAATGTAGTGATGTGGCGGTGATGATCATGACACAAACTATATTTTTAATAACATAGATTTGATGACTAAGATTATTTTTAGTTAATTTGACAATATTATTAGATAATTAATTTATTAATATTATTTTAATTAATAAATTAAAAAAATTATTTATTTAATTAAGTTTTCTTTAAATTTTTTGTTTTGTTTAAGTTTTAAAAGTATGTTATTGGGCCTAGGCCCAACCCTATGAATAACTAATCCAATCCACAAGTGTTTATAATTCCTCCTCATGTGCACAGCGATAATATCTATTATCATAAATCATACCAAATCGAAAAAGACATTGTTTTATATCCAATCTACCTTGACATACAAGCCACATAGTAATTAGTGAAGGTGGGAAAAATACTTAGAAGGGGGGGTTTGAATAAGGGTTTTAAAAACAATTTAGATGATAGAAAAATAACACATTATTTTTATCCTGGTTCGTTTGAACTCAAACTAATTCAGTCCATCCTACTAAGGTGATTTGCCTTTCTCAACAAGGACTTAATCCACTAAATCAAACTGATTACAGTGTTAAACCACTAAGACAACTGTCTTAGTCTTCTCAAGAATTCTGACCACACTTGGTCTCTTAAGGAATCTTTTACAAAGATAAACTAACAATGTGTTTAAGATGTGCTTCTAAAAAGCTATATCACAACAGTGATTTTTACACAAGTTTTAGAACAAAAATAAAGTTATTCAGCTTTTGAAGAACGTTTGTAAGAGTTGAATAATATGTCAAGAATTTGTTCGAAGTTCGTTAACTTTTGAAGTGATGCTAAGACTTGCTTTTATAGTACTTTGAAATCCATTTCTCAAAGACTGTGCATTTTGTTCTTTTTGTCTTCTATTGACTTTTCCTTTCTCAGAAGAGGAATGTTCTGACAAATCCTTTTTGTCTGAAATCCTGTGTCATGCACGAATGGGGAAAGAGCCGTTTGAATAATGACAAAGAATATGCCAACGGATCTTTATTTGAACATCATCTTCTTCACCAACTTTGGAACGTCTTGCATCAGAACTTCTGATGATATTCCTAGTTGTTCATATCAGAGTTAACTCAATCAGAGTTTCTCTATCAGAGTTTGCAGCAAAGTGCTTTAAGCGTGAAATCCTTATCAGAGCATACTTGCTTAACAGAGCTTCTGTATTTGCAGCATTTAGTACTTCCAGAGTCTTCTGAAGCTTTACGTATGTTCTTTACTCAAGTTCTTCTTAGCTTCGCTCAGAGTCATTGTAGCAGATCCGAGTCTTCTAATGAGTTGCTTCTGACGCTCAGAGCTTTTTCGTTCTGTGGTGTTCAGAGACGTTCTTGCTTCCAAAATAATATTAATTTTGATATCTAAAACAAATAAACACTTGAACAAAAATTAATGTATATAAATTTTCTATACAAAATTTCATTAATGTTATCATCAAAACAATGAGATTATTGAACATCAATTTGTGTTCTAACAATTAGTGTCTTCGGCCCAACAACATTATAACAGAATAATTTCCTCCAATTAACTTGGGATATCTTTATTTACACAACATGTTGTATACCTCCTTCATCTCAAACTTATTACTACTTAGTATATGATTGTACCTGATCAGAGAGATCGATGGGTTACCACGCGTCTGAGCTGTCGAATTGTTGACTTGATGGACAGAGGAGGGGTGTACCTGAAACACACTTCGATGCCAAAGTAAGCGACGAGCAGAGTGACAACAAGTACAGAGAGAAGAGTGAGAAAATTAGATTATCTGACCCTCTAGTGGAAGAGGGTATTTATAATGATCCCTCAACGCATGGCCAACGGTTACCACGCGCTGGGTTGCGCTGCAGGCCCAACGTTGGTAACTACCAGGGCTGACGTGGCGTCGTGAAGACCAGCATGTGGTATTCGCCATAGTGTAACTGTTTCGTGCTATCCGGGAGGTGGAAGACTGAATCATCAGGACACGGATAGTTACTTGATGACGTGTCTCCGCGTAGGGAACACGTAGAGAACGTGGGGGAGGCTAGAGGAGCTTCCCGAGCTGGACGGGTTCTGCCCGACGTGGGGCAGAGGGGAGGCATCCCGGGAAGATATAAGGGTCCTACCCGGTGGTCGTTGGTCCTTGCCCGACGGGAGAAGGTGTTCTGTTCGACAGGACTATGCCCAACGAGGAGGTCTTATTGGGCCTTCCAATCCGGTGGGGTTTGGGCCTGCTCGACTATGGGTTAAGCGTCGGCACAGTCCGAAACAATATATAATCCCAAACCTGTTGAATGTCACTTAGAGTGAGTCTTTGTTTAAAGATGGTCTTCATAATCCAAGTGTTATGGCTTTTGAGGTTGATGGTTGATGGGCTAAAGACGTGTCTACTTAATGCGTCTAGCGGTATCTTACTGCAAGTGCACAGCCTATCGAAGTAATATTTAAGATTATCGATCCACAGGGATTCTATCGTTACTTAGTGCTAGATGAACTTCTAGTTTAGCTAAGGCGAATAGTTGTCACGATTGTTGTTGGTTTTCTAAGACTATTGAAGGCGGAATTAAATCTAGGTTTTTAATAAAATAATACTAAGACGGTCGGTATGTAATTATACTAACTTAGGTGGGTCAATCTAACCTAGGCTTATAAAGATGTTCACTTAATCTATTCGGTAGAGATTACTAGTTTGAATACCCTCAACTCACACTCTCGTGGTCTTGAATCAGATCTTATCCCTAAAGCCCTATGCCTGCTCTCGCTAGCCCATAAGTGTTCAGAGATAATTTTTGGAAACTAAATAATTCTAATTTATCTTAAAGCGCTCTCGCTGTATTTAATTTAAATGCCTAACTTTAGCTATCTGGTTAAAATCTCACACTCTCGTGGTCTTGACCCAACCTAATACCCTTTTCTTACTCTCGTAACGAAAAGGTCGAATTCAATTAAAAAGCATCAGCCAGAATGTTAAGCGATTAATTATTTTAGCCCATGGTTATATTTTACCGGTTAAGTTAGTTATAACTACATACCGCCCTAAGGTATTTAGCTACTCATCGAGGTTAAATCAGACTCAGAGTTAATTATTGACTTACTAATGGCAGAAAAATAAATAGACATTATAAATAAATTAAATTGCAATAACTGAAAAACCTGATTAACAAATATCTGAGTAGACTCCTTCTTCCACAGACCGGAAGGCTTGGAGTAGGCGGAAATAAAAATTAAAACGAATGCTGAAGGCTGGAAACAAATAAAAGTATAACAATTCCCTAATGTTGGAAATTGTTACACGGTTGGTTTGGATACAAATAAAATAAGGCAGAAAATAAAATGCTGGAAATAATAATTCTGATGGTAAGGTAATTCGGAAGAGCTTCCGCAGGAAATTTTGATACTGAAGTCTGTCCTTGAATCCTCCTGAGCTGGTCCTATTTATAGAGCTTCCAATGGGCTGGTCCTTGGTCTTTTGCTTCTTGGGCTTTGCTGAAGTGGTTGAGAAAATGTTGGAAAGTGGCAGCAGAAAATGGGAGAAGTCTCCCTCACGTGCTGCCTTGAGGAGAATTACCAGGAGGAGTGGGCATCACTGGTGGCTTGACGTAGTCTGAGTCAAAATTCAAGTTATATCCTTGTCACGGGCGTGACAAGGTCTTCACGCTCGTTGTTTGATGATTTCAAGTGTCACGGTCGTGACTACTTCCTCACGGTCGTGATGTCCCAAAGTAAGGTGTCACGGTCGTGACACCCTTGTAACGACCGTGGTCGTAACAAATTATGCAGAGTTTATGCAGGCTTCTGTCTTGCTTCATTTCTTGTGGTTTCTTTGTTCTTTTCTTCTTAATTCATGATTTGGCCTCACATATCGATGTACCTGCAAAATAGTAAGAAAAAACTCGAGGAATCGAGCGTTAAAACGGTGAATGCGCGGTAAAAGTCAATGAAATCTAGCGATATAACCGATGCGTTTTCTCGTCATCAAACTTCCCCAAACTTAAACCTTTGCTTGTCCTCAAGCAAATAGTTGGTTGAAAATCGGCGGACAAGATTTTATTCGCGCATACTCATAGCAAACCATCCGGTGGATCGTTTCGTCGGATAGTCCGGTACTTTGATAGAACACTACCGATACACTAATGACATAAGCAACAGGCTATGTCGTCGACTTCCCGTCAAGCGAAACAATCGGCAATCACATTGCGATTTCACCTAGAGTTTTTCGATCTTATTTCACCCGGTTCGTTCTAGCGCAGTCACATTAAGCCCTTTGCCTTCGCACGCACGTAGTGGAGTAGCCGGTTAGCGATTTTGATCCTTTTTTTTTTTTTTTGCACGGGGTCTGGTACACGAGTGTGGTAACCCTTCATGTTTTATCCGATGCGGAGGTTGTGGGGGATCGAGCCGTAGCACGCCCTACCGAGTTCAGAACCAGTACCTCTGAACCAACCCGGAACGGAGTCCTTCTCATATTTCTCGTTTCTTATCTGCGACCGTGTACTTTGGTGCAATCTCTTTTCATTTTGCATTGAGATACGAAGGATCATTATTGATTAGGCATCAAACGCTTATATTCATCGGCTCCCCACGTGGTTTGTGTTCG